TAGACTGAGGTACGCGGTCGGGGTGTCAGGCGGTCCGGTACAGTGATTATGTTTACATAGAATAATGGCAGACTTAGTTGTTTTTGTGCTCAAGTATATTAAAGGAACACTATAGGGTCAGGAACACTATAGGGTCAGGCAGTGAGCCAGAACTCCTTAGAAAATCTGGGCTGGACTCATGCACAGCCACTCTGGCAGTGGGTGGAGAATCGGCCCACCCTGCTCTTCCGAATACTCCACCCCAGGGAGCCAAATAAACACATAGGGAAAAAAAAACTACATTTAAACTTAACTTTCCCTGGGGCTGCATGTGCTTACCCCACATGTCAGGATAGTGGCTGTGCAAAAGTCTGGGTGCCAGATATACACCCCTGACCACCATCCCCAACATTCTGTCACAATATATACTTAGATCATATATATAATACACTTCCCCTGCTGGCACTGCTATGGACAGCTATTTTGTCCATGTGATCGTGAGGTCCTCGCAGGTAAGTTCCCCCCCCCCCTTCGCGATCGCGAGAAGGCGGCAAATTATACTAAAACGTCTAATCTCTAAATTGTATAAACTGATTAGTAACTTTGAAAATATCACATGTAGTATACCGTATATTTTAAATGTAATATCCTCCTTCATAATGTTTGCAAGTTAATTTTCTATATAGGAATATATATCAAATTTTATTAAGTCAAATGCATGCACAGTCTAACAATTCCAGACTAAACGTTGAATAAGAAAGTACCAAACTATGATTAATCACGTACCTCTTTTGCACTAGCCTCAGACTGCCACTGAGGTCAATGTCAGGTCCCACAAGGTACAATGACTAAAAATATCTTGGACATAGCTTAGTTTTTCTTCCTCTCTATATCACACACCTATTTAAGTGCATTTTTACAGGTGAAAACTGAATTTGTTATAAAAAGGTAAACAGCTCCCCCTAATGGTTATAAAATAGAATTCACAGTAAACTAAAGCATATAAATACATCTGAATTATAAATTATAGCCAGCTACATAGTAAGGTTTGTGTATTTGTTATACATTTAAGCTTTGGTTTTATTTACTATAGTGCTTAAGAAATTTGCTTGAAATCTAGGACACAGGATTTTTTTTTTTTTTTTAAACTAACAAAGCTTAATTTGCAACAGCAAAAATATAATTCTTAAAGGGACACTATAGTCACCAGAACTACTATAGCTTAATGTAGTGGTTTTGGTGTCAGGCTTTTCAACATAAACACTGTCATTTTAACAAAAAGACAGTGTTTACAGTGCTGACTAGTAACACCTTTAATGGCAGTCACTACAACGGGTACTAGAGGCAATTTCTAGTCCAGTGTTGCACAGTGTGCAGCACCTACATTCAGCGTCTCCACACTCTGCATAGAGATAATTAGCGCACACGCAATAAGAAAACATTGGCTTGGTTGAGATCATCAAGATTGATACTGCCGCCAGAGAGGTGGGGCCAGCCAGGGCAAGACCGGCACAGTGTGAGGAAAAATGAGTAGAAACAGCTTTATGTGATCAGAGGGGGGGCGGTCACCTAAACACACACTCAATGACAGAGACACACACTCGCAGATCATTATTTTGTTTTATTTTACCTAGCCTCCCTACCTTTGGGAGAGCTAGAGTAGACTTTTTTCCCTGGGGTCCAGTGGGGCTGCTATAAACTTCAAGCTCTTCTTACTCTGCTCCCTCACACGCTGTTTAGTGATGCCAGGCTCAGAGTGACATGTCCTGGCATCACAGCAGGGCACAGCCTCCCAGGTCATAGTAAATATAGGGACACACTGGGTGCAAGCACTTTTGTTGCAGATATATTATATGCCCAGGTCTACATATATTGGGGGAAAACATTTTGCAGCATTTAACCCAATCTAATCTCCTACATTTTTATAACAGAAACGATCACAAGACAGTTTATTTAAACTATTGTCAGAAATTCAATGTGAATTTCAAATTCTGGGCAACACTAACTTTAAAAAAAAGTCAAAAGTCATAAGTTTTCAGCTCAGCTTTTTTGGCTTAAAATGTTAAATTCAATTTAGTGTATATCCTGCTTTTGTTGCACTGTGACACTATAAAACTGGATCACAATAACAGCAATCCAAACTGTCCAGTGAATTTGCATGTCAAAAGCATAATTGTTAGCCCCAGTGAGTTTATATATATTTTGAGATAACGTAATGTGCCCTAGAGGGTTTGCAACTTTGTAATTACTTCAATGTGATCTTTTAATGCATAGAAAGGTTTAACACAAACCAATTTTTGTACGTTACCTGTCATGTCAGTTCTGTTTGGCAATAGCCTATTCATGGTCTTACTCTCATGTGTTCTATAGACTGTAAACTCGTTTGGGCAGGGTCCTCTTCAACCTATCGTTCCTGTAAGTTTTATTGTAATTGTCCTATTTATAGTTATAAAAAAAAAAAAACGCTCTCATAATATTGTAAAGTGCTACGGAATCTGGCGCTATATAAATGGCAATAATAATAATGCAGAATGACAAATACAGAATATAATTCTTAGGAGATTCTGCAGACAGTGTAGAATGTAATAAATGCTCAGTGAGTTTTTTTTTTTTATATACTATTGTGTATAACACAGCATTTATTCTTAAACCCAGGGCCTGTGCAGTTACCCATGTTTAGTGCTGTATTACCATCTAACATGCCTGTAGGCCAAATATATACCTTAAAGGATCACTATAGGGTCAGGAACACAAATATGTATTCCTGACCCTATAGTGTTACCACCATCTAGCCCCCCTGGGCCCCTCATGCCTCCATAAATATAGTAAAAAAATCTTACTGTATTCAAACCTGAAGCTGTAAATCTGCATGCTGTTAGACTCAGAAAAACAAGCAGTCTGCTGACATGTGGTAACCTGATCCAATCACAGTGTTTCCCCATAGGATTGGCTGAGACTGACAAAGAGGCAGATCAGGGGCAGAGCCAGCATGATTCAAACATAGCCCTGGCCAATCAGCATTTCCTCATAGAGATTAATTGAATCAATTAATCTCTATGAGGAAAGTTCAGTGTCTGCATGCAGAGGGAGGAGATACTGAATCACAGGATGCTGTGCACAGTGCTGCCCTGTGCTCTGCTGACTGCAGATCTGAGTGGATGGAGGCATATAATGCCTCTATCAACTCCAAAGTCCCCCTGGTTCACTCTGAGTGACTGCAACTGGAGGTGTTCCTAGCTTTCAATGTAAACACTGTATTTTCTCAGAAAATACAGTGTTTACATGAGGGGCTGCAGGGAGCTATAGTTCTCACGTGAACAACCTCATTAAGATGAAGTTGTTCAGGTGACTATAGTGTCCCTTTAAACAAAGGAGTCCACATAAAAGATTTATATTATCAAGGTTACCAACTACAATTTTGAAGAATCAAATTTGAATGGCAAATTGGGGTAAAATTTGCCATTTTGGTAAAATAATGACTCTGCTAGAATCACAGCTTGGCTATTTTAGTTTTTATTTTAACTATGTGTTTGTCTAAAGTTTAATGAAAATTAATTTCTTGCCTAAAATCATTTTCTTCTTTACAATTCATATAAGCTCCATCGACACAGGGCACATAATTTAACAGCTCTAGAGAGCTAAGAAAAACCCTCCATCCCCTGTTGATTCAGCAGAGGAGGAAGGCTGTGTTCTTGATAGCAAGGGGAGGTGTTTTCGGGGCTGTAGAAGTAGCTATATTGGGCATGAGCTATACACTAAGTTTTTTTTGATTAAACTTTTAATGTGTTCACTGTAAAAGGCACTACACAAGTTGTACAGAGAAGCTGAATGTTAACAGTTTTGTTTTCCTTTTAGCTGCAGGTGTGTTGAAGTTTGGCACTTTGGTCAGCACATCAAATACCTATGATGGTACCGGCGTTGTCACAGTGCAGACAAACAATCCTCTTGTCTGGACAATGGGAATTCAGAATACAGTTGATGAATGAAGGAAGAAGTCTCATCCGGAACAGTTAAAAAAAAAAGTTTCTGAATAAAGTTAAGTGTAAAAAGTATATGCTTGACCCATATTTCCTGCTTTTATGCATGTGGCTTTCTAGCTGCTGTTCCATTTTATTTAATGTCAGCTGGATAACATTAGGATTGCATACATGCCTTGTAAAATAGATGGAAACTCTGCGTTCAAGAACCATATTTTAAGAGATCTGTTGGTCATGCTTCTTTCAGAGAACCTAATTAACCCCTTAAGGACAAAACTTCAGGAATAAAAGGGAATCATAAGATGTCACACATGTTATGTGTCCTTAAGGGGTTAATGTCACATGAAGACGACTTGAGTGGCTAATTACCGAGAATTTCACCAATCACTTAAATATTGTTGATTGATAAATGTAGTAGCATCTTGCAATTCCTGATAAAGCATCTGTCTGCTTGTCACCTAAATAATCAGACTGGCTGTGAGACCAATGTTAAGTGCATTATATAGATAATACAATTAAAATGTGCAGAAAAAAAAATTTCAAGCCACACTGAGCTGTGCCCAGACATGCAAAAGCTATTAAGAACCTGATTTGGTAGAATGAACTGACAAACTATTACAAGACTATATGTCTAAAATGTTTTGCAAACATGTACAGGAATAAGAAAATGTGAGCAGGGAGACAGGGTTACAGACATCCAAGCACCATAACCTATACAAGAAGCATAAGGAGTTATGGTGCTGGAATAATCCCCTTACCAAGAATTTAAATAAAAGGCACAACATATACGGTGAGTGATATGGTAACTGTACTTGATTATGAGAAAAAAAGAGCTTATATTCCATCCAATGTATTGAGATGGCTAAACCAAAGCAACATGCTTACGAAAAAGAATCAGCAAGAGACAAAATAAGCACTTTTTCGTTTTATTATATGAACTGGGTCAAATAAAAAATATACATTACAACAAAAACAAAACTAGCGTTTGTCCACCAAGAAGTTGCCATTGCTTCAAAGCCAGGGTCTCCACAGGAACCGATCAAGTTAACTGCCACTATTAAAAACAAGAAAGTGGTATTGGATTAGGAAGGGTTAAATCTTTACAGACTCTATTCGGCAATTACCAGTAAGACATACATGATTGATTTAAATGATCAAGTGGGTCTGACACAGGCACAGAAAAACTTAGTCCTAACAGCTAGATCTGTTTAATACATCAACTAATGGGTTGGTTAAAAACGTAACCAATTAAAAATTGCTTCTAGCAGGGCAGATTACATTGGGGTTGTATATTCTATAAATTGAGGTTATAGGGGCAACAGTGTTAATGTAACCCAAGGAAAAAAGAAGAATCCCACAAAACTGCCTTTTGCCTCGAAAAGCGGAGAATCAAAATTATTAGTAAACAAATTGTGCTGCACAGCTCTATCTAACCACCGGGCAGCTCATGTAGTGGGAAATGGCAAGAGGTTTGCTATGTGTGATCTGTGAAGTAAAGGTGCAATGTGTAAGCGGACTACATTTTTTTTTGAATGACCATCACCTTCAAGGTAAGGAGTTTGTACACGGACAGATTATTCGGTAATACTAATGCATCTTTAGTAGCCTCCAAAAGCAGGCAGCATGGGAAGGAGACCTGTAGCAGAATGCAGCTCCTATCCAAAACAACCCACTGTGTGTTTTTTGTTCTGATAAATTACAGATCACTGCCACATATGATGCACTGCACGAATTGCACTACCTGGTGGCTAACTGACTTTTGGTCGTGCTCACACTCTGCATGAAGACACCCAGCATCCGTAAAAATACCAATAGGACAGCACTGAGGCAATGATTTACTATGGGGAGGGTCTAAAGTGCTAGTCGCGCATTAGCCCACCCCCTTTCTCACTTGAGGCGACAGAATGCCGACCCTGCGCCGAGGGAAATTGATGCTAGAACCGGGTGAGGGTTTTTTTTGTTTTGTTTTTACCCTTTCAATACAATGGTTAAAAAAAAAAGTTACAATTATTGTAGAATTACAGTTATACAACAATAAAAATTAAACATTAAGGACAAACAAATATTCACTTACACTATGATGTTGTTAATGGGAATATGGATCAGTTTTACAAAGAACCCAATAAATCCCATAATTGCGAAGCCAATGGCAGTTGCCATTGCAATTTTCTGGAATTCTGAAACAAAATTTAAAGAACACACATTATTGATTTGAATAGAATTACAAAATAAAACAAGTCATATAAGTTAACATTCCACAGTTCACCTAAGACTTGTCAGCAGACTTTCCAAAAAGAAAAATCAAACATTCCACCAACAAATGCATACAACCTTTAAGTTAAATCTGTTTTGCATAGACAATATATTTCAGGGAAAGAGGAAGACCGCAAAAATAAATCCATCTACATCTCTCTGATCGAGTGCAGTCGCATCTGGCCACGTCCACTCAATATAATTGCAATTGTTGTAGAGGATATTAAAGCAGAAACTTGGTTGAAAAAGACCCTGCCAATGTCTACCAGTAATCCTGTGTGCCTGATCACACTGTGTGATCAGACACTGGTCTCAGAATTGAGACTGGTATCCCATCACTGTGAGCTATTGCAGCTCTGTAATCTGTCATTGAGCCAATTTAAAGAGCACAGGGAGAAAGAAGGGTGTCTCTCCCAAAGCTTGGATCAGATAGTGTACACTGCTGTTGGTGCTGAACATTGTGCATGCTGCAGTGATACCCTGGTGAGGTCACCATTGAATATTCCCTTATAAAAAGGAGGTTAAAGTGGTCTAAAAATATCCAATACGGAATCTCCCATCATTTATAAAATGTAAATATAACAACTGTAAAGGAATGAGAAAAAAACGTGCTATAGGGGTTATGGTTCTTGGAATGCTGGCGCACTCCCCTTAACTGTTACCCAATTTGTTTTCCACAAGCAGTTCAAGGCTTTTTTGGAACACACAGTCACGAAGATTAAAAAGATTGATTTGAGCGTCTGACACTTGCTTCAGAACATCCTGGAAAGCCCATAACTATGCATATTTTATAGGTTTCACAGTGGAGTTCTGTGATTTCTAAATACACTGGAAAAGGTAACTAGAAACACAATAGAGGGGCAAGTGAATCATTTCCCTTAGTGGGACCTCAAATACCTCTAATAGCAAAGAAATGTACACATAAGAGTCCAAAATAACATTTGGTGTATAGGAGTTTATTTTTCTTCTTTGGGTCAGTCTCCTTTTTGTGTGCATTTTCCATTAAAGGACCACTATAGTGCCAGGAAAACATACTCGTTTTCCTGGCACTATAGTGCCCTGAGGGTGCCCCCACCCTCAGGGACCCCCTCCTGCCCGGCTCTGGAAAGGGAAAAGGGGTTAAAACTTACCTTTTTCCAGCGCTGGGCGGAGAGCTCTCCTCCTCCGATCCTCCTCTTCTCCTCCCCGTCGGCTGAATGCGCACGCGCGGCAAGAGCTGCGCGCGCATTCAGCCGGTCACATAGGAAAGCATTCATAATGCTTTCCTATGGACGCTGGCGTGCTCTCACTGTGAAAATCACAGTGAGAAGCACGCAAGCGCCTCTAGTGGCCGTCAATGAGACAGCCACTAGAGGATTAGGGGGAAGGCTTAACCCATTCATAAACATAGCAGTTTCTCTGAAACTGCTATGTTTATAAAAAAATGGGTTAACCCTAGCTGGACCTGGCACCCAGACCACTTCATTAAGCTGAAGTGGTCTGGGTGCCTAGAGTGGTCCTTTAAGATCACTTCTTGTGGTCATTTGCAACCTCTAAATACAATACAGACTGGATGTGTGGGCACAGTAAATGACCAATTGCTTAAAGTTATATACTAAGCCATTACACAATATCAGTTATATATCCAATGAACTATTACAGTATTAACATCCAACACCTGAGAAGGATATAAGCCGTTTAGAGCTTCAAAATGAGCATACCTTTTCTATCTGGCTTTGTACATCTCTTGACCAGTCTTATAGAATCCTTCACAAACTGCCGGCTAGGCTCAACAAATTGCATTACCTGGTCCATGTCTGCAAAAAAAAAAAAAAAAGACAGACAACTATTAAATAACATTAAAATATATGGTCTGCATAAACTAATGATGCATTAATAAAACATTCATACATTGATTCAACATTTTAACCTGTTCAATTTATTATGCGTATATAAGATGCGGCTGGTTAGTTATACGCCCTCACATCGTTAGATGAAGTTTATACTGATAATGCTATATAAAAACAGGCAGTCTATAGGGGAAGAGGCGACCCTCGTTTTTGTTGCAAAATCAGACAAATAAATAAAAATAAACTGGGACTGTACCCAAATACTTTGTTGCACCATAACCATTACATTAAACAAGCATTGTTATAGTGGCCTTATGACAGTGTATTTAAGAAAACAAATTAAAACCCTGACAATAGAACTGTGTTCTTAATAAGTTAGTTCCATTACAAATGGGCCACCTCAAACCTAGTACATGTACAGAAAATAAAATATAACAAACTACAGCTCAGCACCGAATTCAGATTAAAAAGACAAGTGTAAAAATCCTGATAAGGTCTTATTTCAGCCTATTATACAGACACATAAACCAGTCCTGCCACTGCCTCTAATGTATGTGTAGTATAAATCACTAAGATGAATGATTTCCATAATCCCAAGTGATGCCAGATCAGTATATACTGTAATATATATATATATATATATATATATATATATATATATATATATATATATAAATAACACTCGGTATACAGCGCTAGTTACCTGCTGGTTACGGTATCACTGCCGATCTCTGAGTGGACTCGTTCAGTACAGCGGTCTCTCACAACTGGGACACGTAGCACTGTCTGAAGACGTATTCTCCGTAAAGCTGACGACACCGGAAGATCCGGAAGATGACGTTAGAGCTCAGTCTCAGAGTTCTAAACAATACTTTATTCTACTTCCGCAATAGAAGCCATCTTGGTGACGTTGTTGATTGGCGACGTACTAAGGCGTGGTCTCCAGAAAAATGGCCACCACATCACTTGAACCAATGTGGATTGAAAGAGTTGTAGCTCTAGGTTTAGAACTAGGCGGCCTTGCAGAGTAACGGGAAGTCAAGTCAGCCCAGAGCAGGAATGCGGAAATTGCTGAAGGGACAATCTAGCATGTAGTGGTCGATCTTTACTGCTCTGGGGGCCTTTGGTCGATGCTGAGCTGGCTTTATCTTAGTTTGTTGGACAGATTAACTAGAGATTATTGTGGGTGTTAGCAGTAACAAAGTTTACTAATTGTGTTCCTAATAATCTTAATACTACACTCCTATTAGAGGACAGTCATTGTAAATTAATAATTTGCCATTTGTATATGTATTATTAGCATATCTGAGGCGTTGAGTAATGTAATACATGTAAAACTCGGGTTTATTTACTGTTTTTTTTTAAATTGCTAATTTAAATTAAATTTAGATTTGATTCTTCTTTCTGATTTTAATTCACTACAATTCTGGGTTTTGTGAATAAACCCCACAGACAGTTTTATTCGCTAAGCTCCAAATTTAAAGTAACGCTCCAATTACCATCATCACTTCAGCTTGCTGTAGTGGTTATGGTGCCAGTCTTGCCCTGGCACTATTATATTGTATGTAGTTAAATTGTTTTAGAATGGTTTAACTTCTTACTATCGGCCTGCTGGGTGCCGTGCCATGCTTCCACTACTTCCTATGAAGTGCTTAAAGTTCCTAACCTGGAGTTTCCGTTTGTTGTCCGGAGCTAACCTCTTCAATGCAGGGCTAGCTCATTGTCTTATTAGAGCATCAGAGCCAGGCTTAGTGGAGATAAAGAGCATCCAACTTTCGATAAGAAGTAGTGGAGGAGTCGAACTGCTTCAAGCAGACTCCCGGTTAGAAGTCAAACCACATTAAAACTTTTTGACTCCTCACAGCATGCTGTAGTGGTTATGGCGCTTAGAGTGTTTAAGTGAATTAGAAATGAATGTTAAATTATAAGTTAAAATAACTGTCTTGCAAAAAGCCATAGGAAAGCATTGGATTGGCTGAGATTGTCAATGAGGCAGGTCAGGGGCAGAGCCAGCAAAAGCCAAACACAGTCAGTATTAGGGATCGACCGATATTGATTTTTTAGAGCCGATACCGATAATCTGTGAACTTTCAGGCCGATAGCCGATATCTTGCCGATATTCTGTACATTTACTATTTTGAATAAATAAACTAATTCGAAAGGTAAATGCACAAAATATACATGCCACATGTAGTGGATGAAGTGTGTTTAGACAGGGGAACTGTGTGTGTTTGTGTAGTGTGTGTGTAGTGGATGCAGAGTGTGTGTTTGTGTAGTGTGTATATAATGAATGCAGTGTGTATATAATGCAGTGTGTTTATGTAGTGTGTGTGTATAATGCAGTGTGTTTTTGTGTGTGTATGTAATGCAGTGTGTGTGTTTGTGTAGTGTGTGTGTGTATGTATGTAATGTAGTGTGTGTATGTAATGAAGTGTGTGTTTGTGTAGTGTGTATGTAATGCAGTGTGTGTGTAGTGTTTGTGTAGTGTGTATGTAATGCAGTGTGTGTGTATGTAATGCAGTGTGTGTGTAGTGTGTGTTTGTGGTGTGTGTGTAGTGTGTGTCTGTGTAGTGTGTATGTAATGCAGTGTGTTTGTGGTGTGTGTGTAGTGTGTGTCTGTGTAGTGTGTGTTTCTGTGTAGTGTGTATGTAATGCAGTGTGTGTGTATGTAATGCAGTATGTGTGTATGTAATGCAGTATGTGTGCAGTGTGTGTTTGTGTGGTGATGTAATTTTTGTAATTTTTTATTTTAATATTTTTTTTAATATTTAAATGTTTTTTTTTGTTTAGTCCCCCCCAGTGTGTGTTTGTGTAGTGTGTATGTAATGCAGAGTGTGTGCAGTGTGTGTTTGTGTAGTGTGTGTAGAGTGTGTGTTTGTGTAGTGGTGTAATTTGTGTAATATTTTTTTTAATATTTAAATGTTTTTTTTTTTTTTGTTTAGTCCCCCCTCCCTGCTTTTTACCAGGGAGGGGGATATAGTATTCCCTGGTGGTCCAGTGGCTTGTTAAGTACAGTGGTGGCTCAGCAGCAGCAAGCGCTGACTTACCTTGCAAGCAGCTCCTACAGCTCCCTGTGTAAATCTCACGGCTCTTAGTGCCGCGCGGAGCGTTGCCATGGTAACCCGTGGCAACGCTCTGCGGCCGCGGGTCTCGCGAGATTTACACAGGGAGCTGCTTGCAAGGTAAGTCAGCGTTTGCGGCTGGCCCCGACAGGACCGCCGGGCTTCTAATGGGCACGGCGGTCCTGTTATATATTATCGGCAATATCGGTATCTGAATTGGCCGATACCGATATTGCCGAAAATACCAAATATCGGCCGATAATATCGGCCAGACCGATAATCGGTCGATCCCTAGTCAGTATCTCCTCATAGTGATGCATTAAATCAATGCATCTCTATGAGGAAAGTTAAGTATCCCTAGGCTGTAATGTAAATACTGCCTTTTCCCTGCAAAAAGCCTACAGGAACTGACTATACTCACCACAACATATACGATAAGCTATAGTTGTTCTGGTGACTATAGTGTCCCTTTATGGTCTATCCAGACTTGTGCGCCCTCTGAAATCTTAGGGACACTCAGTGACGTAGAATCCAGAGAATGTCCAAAGTTTATTAAACAGAACAAAGCTTATAAGGTAAATCGCAAAAAGGAGGAATTTCATTAATCACCAATAAAGTATTGACAAATAAGTAAACTTAGCATGTAAAAGCTTGTGCAAACAGCATGATCAAGGTCATTGTGAGTGTGGGGCAATGAATACTTAATATTAAGTGCATGGCTGATAGCTAGGGGGAACTAGGTTCAGGATATATAAGGGAGTGTCTTACATCAACCATTTTACTTCCATAATCCGCTCAGCAACAGCTCCCTCCCTTTGATTTGGAATTGTTTATGATGTTATGTTGGTCTCTATTTGTTTTGTCACAGCAGGCGGGGTGTGCCCTTGCCAATAGTAACTAATGACGGTGTAGGGGTGCTCGCCCCTCCCAAATCTCAAAGTGGTATGGATGTGTCCACTGAGCTAAACTCTGGCTAGTGGTCAGCTCCAAGGGGGGAATAAGCCCTGAGGTGTGGCTACGGTATAGACGTGCCCACTGAGCTAAAAGAGCTGGTTAGTGGTAGGCACTAAAGGGGCGATAAGCCCAGAGGTGTGACTAAGGTATAGACATGCCCACATAGCTAAAAGAGCCGGCTAGTGTTCAGTACTAAGGGACCTATAAGCCTGGAGGTGTGGTCAAGGATTGGTAAGATGATAGGGAGAGGTAGCACCCGGGGAACTGTTACGTTAATAATTTATGGATTGTTAGTTATTGGCAAGGACAAGTTATGTACTGTTATTTATATTTTATAAAGTTACAAATTGGATTATTGGTGAATGTTTAATAATTGTTGTGGCCTATTTTCACCACCATCTTGTGTCAATTATTGGGAAGGGTTCTTGGTTAAAGGTTAATTTGGCACATAGTCCCAACTACCTTTACGCAAGCCCTCCGGTTTGTAAATGAAAATAGGTTTGGCAAGGAAGTTTGTTTACAGCACAGGATAAAGAGACTGTTTTAAGAAAACCAACATATTTCATAGTGCTGTACAATGAGTGGATCTAAAAAATAAGTAGATGACAAACAAGGTTAGGTAAATAGAAATGATAATAGAGAGGGCTTGCAACAGGTCTGCATACCCGATTCCAGTCCTATTACCCTAATGGAAATTACTGAGTAAAAGTTAAATGGCATATAGTGCATAGAAAATAAAAAAACTTGCAATACCTCTGCAATCTATTCATTTTTACAATATCATTTAGGTAGTACCATCTAGATCAGGGGTTCTCAACGTTAGTCCTCAGGACCCCCTACCAGTCCAGGGTTTAGGGATTACCTGGGTGTGTCTCAGGTGTTTAGAAAAAGAAAAAAAAAAACACCTTAGAGAAGCTAGCTGCATGTTTCTTTGATACATACTAAAAACCAAATTGAGGTGAACTAAAATCCAAATGGCAAATTTCAATGTAAAATAGTTAAGCTATTACTATAGCTGTGTGCAGCTATTTTTTGCCAAAATGTTTCAGTGTAGATTATACTTCATTAAAATTCAGAGTTTAAGATAAAAAAAAAATAAAATAAAAAAAACACAACCAGGGTTTATATAACCCAGTCAGTGCCATATGCATGTATCACCTCCTCTATGCTCACATTTATTTTCATTTCAACCTGGTCACCCTCACAGTAGGAGATCTTATCTTTGAGTCAGTCTAAGAGGGTGTCGGATTATATAGCAAAAGCAAATGGTGGAAATGAATAATTTAACCCCTTCCCGACCAAGGACGCATCAGGTACGTCCGACATAAAAGGGCCTTAAGGACCATAGGTGTGATAGGTAGGTGTGATTTATAGGCCCCCAGGACAAATTGAAGAGTTAGATAATCTACTAGTTGTGGAAATAGCTAAAATGACAATGAAGGGGGAAGTTATCATCATGGGTGACTTTAATCTTCCTGATGTGAACTGGAAAACAAAAATAGCTGCTTGTGCCAGGAGCACACATATTCTAAACTCCCTACTGGGATTTTCTCTAAAACAAGTCGTTGAGGAGCCAACTCGTAAAGAGGCCATACACGAAAGGTAATAGGGAGGAGTCGGGCAACTATAGGCCAGTAAGCCTTACTTCATTAGAGGGGAAAGTGATGGAAACCATGTTAAAGGATAGGATTGTTGAATAGTGATGTCGCGAACCCGAAATTTTCGGTTCGCGAACGGCGAACGCGAACTTCCGCAAATGTTCGCGAACCGGCGAACCGCCCGAAACGCCATTGACTTCAATGGGGAGGCGAATTTTAAAACACACAGGGACTCTTTCTGGCCACAATAGGGATGGAAAAGTTGTTTCAAGGGACTAACACCTGGACTGTGGCATGCCGGAGGGGGATCCATGGCAAAACTCCCATGGAAAATTACACAGTTGATACAGAGTCTGGTTTTAATCCATAAAGGGCAGAAATCACCTAACATTCCTAAATCACAATCAATATGGATTGACACCTGACATATGACATATTGACACCTTGACATATGGATTGACACCTGTCCTCAGAGCCCCTGATGCACACGGACACAGAGCAGAATAGAGACTGGTCCCCCTACATAGGGTCACTTGGCAGATATGGATTGACACCTGTCCTAAGGATCCCTGATACACACTGACACAGAGCAGAATAGGGACTGTTCCCCCTACATCGGGTCACTTGGCAGATATGGATTGACACCTTGTTACAAACTGCTATTTTAACGGGCCCTTTAAATGGCAAATTGCCCTGCTTCCCTGGGTTGTGGAGAAGCCTATTTGCCAGCCTCCTCCCGCATGACTATGGCCCCTGGGAGATTGTGAAAATGTATGCACTTTTATTTGGTGTGTATGGCCCTTTAAGACTGTCGGTGGGCATATTGGGGCTTATGGACTCTTTATGTGACTGGTGCTGGCCCTTTAAACACCTTTTTTGGGACATCAGGAAGATTGGGACACTGCCCCTTTAAGGCCGTGTCCCCAGACTTGTTGGGGACACGGCCCCTTTAAGACGGTGTCCCCTGTGTCCCCAGACCTGGTGCAAACCCTTTGTGCCTGCCCTGCTATTTCCCACTTGGTTCAGTAAATGGGAAATTATTTCAGCTGCAGAGACTAAGTCCCATTCGGCGATGGGACTTAGCCTTTTTTTCAGCCGTTTTTTTCAGCCTTATTTCAGCTGCAGAGACTAAGTCCCATTCGGCAATGGGACTTAGTCTTTTTTTCAGCCGTTTTTTTCAGCCTTATTTCAGCTGCAGAGACTAAGTCCCATTCGGCAATGGGACTTAGTCTTTTTCGCTTTTTCAGCCTGGCTCAGTGTTAAGAGAGACTAAGTCCCATTCGGGCGCATGGGACTAGCCTTTTTCAGCCGCTTTTTCAGCCTTATTTCAGCGTTGCAGAGACTAAGTCCCATTCGGCATG